TTATATAGGCTACACCAATGTGACGTTTAGGCGGTTCATTTAACTATTATACGTGATGTATGTTGTTTTTTTGGGGGGGGTAATGAAAGTGTTCCAAAATGCGACATTAATTTCTTGACGATCTAATAATATCCAAATCCAGATATTTATGTTTATTTTTAGTGAAAACCTTTTTTTTCTAGAGTGAAATCTTGTGATTAATTTGTTTGGCTGTGTCAAGAAAATCGTGATTATTCTGTTTAAGAATGTCTATACATCTACAAATGTGATTGATGTGCAAAGCTTTACTATGGTTCTTAGTAAGGTTTATAATGTGTGAAAATTCTAGTCAAATAAATACAATTCTGCAACTTGTGGGCTGAAGTTACTTCCTATTGGAATACGTAGCATCTGTTGGAAGACATGCTGGCAAAATTGCACAAATGTATTATTGAGTAAAAAATATATGCCTGCGAAAATTAATTTAATGTGAATGTTGGTAATTTTTGTGAGTGACACTGTCATAGAAAGTTTTGTTTACTGATGCAGAGTAGTTATAATTTTCTTAAGTTATTAAATGATTGAAATTGTTGGCTTTTTTGTGGCAATAGGATGAGTAGTGTAAAGGTTACTGAAATCAAATGTTTCTGTTATTTTAGCTTTTAATCCTTTCTTTACAGTCAGTGGAATTATTGATAATAATGAAGTTAAATATATTTATTTGAAAATGATTATTACAAGTAAAAGATTTATGACATGTAGCAACTATAATTTCCAAATTCTTGGTTTACAATCTTCAAAATCAAACATAATCAGTCAAGTGATAGAAATATAATAATTTATCATATATCTAAGCTTGTCGCTACCATTTGTTCATACCTTACAGATTTTATTACTATCTCTTCTGTAAATAATTATTCTCAAATGCTTTAAAGAACAATTTTAAGAATTTGAATAAAAGGTAATAAAGAATATATTGACATGTCTAAATGAAAACTTTTTCTAGTTTTATTTTTGTGACTTTAGGGATAGACACCCTTTATCAGGCAGTAATGAACATGTTACAAAGTTTTCATTTAGTCATGCAAGTTTATTCTTTATTATTTTTTATCCAAGTTTTTTTTTCTTGCATTGTTTGAAACAACACTCATTCAATAATTTTATGAACTATATGTTTCAAAACTTTGTGTACTGATTTTACTCATTTCTATATTGTGTGGTTAAACTTATTAGTGAATTTTGTTTTCAGTTACATAACATTTTCTCATTTTACTGAGATTTTTTAATACCTCTGGAGTTTCTTCTTTTAAAACCTCTTTTGTTTTCTTATTTTAGAAGTACCCTCGTGCCCAGCTTGAGGTTTGTGGATGAAAAATAGGGGCATATCCACAAATTCAGGGTAGATATATCTCAATTTTCACTTTGATATTCAATTACGAATGTGCCTGAAAGACCATTTTCCTTTATTTTTAAGTTTAGTCAGTTAAACCATTTGTACTGTTCACTGTATGTTGTTTCATGAAAAATTAAGATTATAAATATAAGATGTAGATTGTACTCTAGACTAGTGACTATCAAACTTTTTTGTTTGTGGACTGCCTAATGTTTTTACTTTGGCAGACCACAATGGCATATATACATTATGTTACCCCTTCTTTTGTAACTTTTACATACAAGAACCACCTGAAGGAAGCCTGTGGACCACAGATTGTGAATAGTTGCCATATATTAAACTGTTGATAGTGTTATTTCAAGTAATTATGTCAGTGTAAACATTTATATACATTTCATTTATCAAGTACCAGAATAAACTTAACACATTCGCTGCTGCATAATAAATTAAATATCATATATAAAAAAAACATTCAAGAAGTGCCAAGTCTGTGTCCCAAACTCGTATGTCACAAGAGAAGTTTGGCTTTGAAACATAATTGTCTGTGACCCATCGGTGTGTCACACGGTCCATAACTAAAGGTCAGTTGTGAGGCACATGGCAGGAAACGTTAATTAAAATTGTAATAGGAGAAAGTACTTGATTAACTCTGTGCTTTTTTCCTCTCTTAATTACAACAGGCCTCTTGATGGAAATTTAAATGTATGGTTCAGCTATTCAGTTCTAAGTTTGATCCTATATTAGTATATCGAATGTAAATGTAAGAAACATTAGTTTTCTAACTGGCTAGCTTTGTAGATAAATGTACAAGATTTCAAGGTTTGTTACAAGAGATTGACATTTGTTAACTTTTGACTTTTAAAATGTGGAAGACTGATATATCTACAACTATTACACAACAACATACTGAAAAGTAAAATTTTTCCAACAAGATAACAGTATATATATATATTTTTCCAGATATTCACGTATACATTGCTTTCTTTGAATTTTAGAATTTTTTCTAAAACTACATGTAACAATGTTCTATTCACTTACACTGGTATCTGCTAGAATACAGATTCTGTAAACATTATGCAGGGAATAAATCAAACATGTACAGTAAAGGAAAAGACAAATACATCTGAAAGTAAATGAATCTTTACACCCAGTGGTATATGTGTTTAGAAGACTAAAATGGCTGGCTTGTAACTTCATATTTACTTGAACTGGCTGCTGGGGTAAGGAGGAGTTGTTTCAAGATGAGATCAGAGCCAATTGACAATAATCAAAATACTTCACCCTTACTCAGGCGAAGCCTGCAGTATTCAAGAAGTTCCTAGGTTACATGATTCAAACAACAGTTTATATACAATGTATATCTTTAAAAGGATTACTACATGTTAAGGACCTTGCGACATCTGATTAATGAACGCATGATTAAAGACATGCAGAAATGGCATGGACCTTTGAAAATAAATTATTTGAATATACCTCAGTATAGATGCATTCTATACTAATTAGGAAAGGATTAAATCAACTGCTATTTCAGCTATGCTGACACTTCATGTTTAATTTATTCTCACTAGTTTTTTTTTCAATTCAAATTATCTTTTTAAGGTTTAATGCAGCAAGTTTTATCTTTCTTTAAAATTCTTTTTTGGAGAACAAAAGAAATGAATTATCTGTGGTATCCTAAGGAAGGGGTACAGTAATTTTATATATGTGTGTGCGCGTTTCGAATTGATTACTATTATGAATTATTTTGTATGATTTAACAAAGTAAGACATTTTCTTTGTGAGTGAAATGTGAACAATGCCAACCTATTATTAGTATCCATTTATGTGTTGAATCAGCTTTGAAATTAGTAACTGATTATATTCATGATTTGAACTGTTAAGATTATTGCTATTAAATAACCATAATATATTTTCACTTTATTTTTGTCCTAATTCAAATTATGAAGCCACTCACTAGTTAATTTAAGGTAGTATATACCCTTTACATAGTGTTATTTAGGTTTTGGCCTTTTTATCAGAAAAAAACATCTTTATACTATGCTTTTTATATGAAAATATATTGAAATAGGTACAAAGACATATTCAAACATGTGTTGTGTAACATTACCACTATGGCTAATTTACATATTATAAAAATAAAGGAATACAAAAGAAATGTCTTGTTCCTGATAACTTCTACAAACATGACTGAATGTTATGTTTTTTCTTTTTGTCTGTCTGGTTAAAACACAATTTTTATTTTTTTTTAGGCTCTTCACTGTTTTACGTAATGCTGATAAATATCACGCACACACAGGTCATTCATCATTGCACTTACTATTCAGTTTCTTTTTATAATAAAATTACCATAGATGTAGAATAAATTTATAACTGAATGAAATTATGCATTTGACTTACTGCTAAGAACTGTTTAACATTAGATACTAGCTTAATAGATGTGATGCTATATACATTGGATGTACATAATTACCTGGATTTTATTACATTTAATTTACAGATAGGGTGATAAACTGTAATAATTGTAGAATTATAATTTTGAACCTTTAGCATTTGTGAAGAGTGATCGCCCCCATAAGTTCCCAGGCCTGAAGATTAAGTACGTACGTGGTGCAGACCCAGTGATCAAGATGTTTGATGGAGCTGGACATGTACAGGAGGAGCTGAGTATCCAGAAATGGGATACTGATACTGTAGAAGAATTCCTTAGAGGACATCTGGAGTAATATGACAATTGAAGTTTTCATCTAGCTTACTTTTCTAAATGATTTTCAGATATAACAACTTCAAATAGTATGTAAAAAGAATTCATGTTTCTAAGTTTTAATAATTCATACTTGGGGAAGGTTATTTAGTTTATGTCAACACTGCTGCTTTATTACTCCTGCACTTGTATGATTTTTCTCCAGAAAGTAATTATATTTACATATATGCTGTGTCACATAGCTTAAGTAGCTCAATAAATATTAAAATTTACCAAAGTGAAGTGACAATTTTGTTTACTTAATCAGTAGCTTTAACACAGTTGTGTTTAGTTACCAGTTAAAGGTTAGACTTTATTAGGATGCTACTTTTTTTGGATAATACATTCTTCTATAATTATAGTTCAGACTTGATTTGCAGAAATGTAGTATTTGCTACATTCTAAAATCATTATACTTATTGTTCTTCTGGTTTTTCTTTAATAATGATTTAAAATAATAAAATAATCAAAGCAGAGTATTGTGCACAACTGTCATCATTATGTAACCAAGCTGAACAGTTCAACTGATGACATCTTGGCAAAAAACCAAAGGAACTTGGAGTGCTAAGGTTGATGAAAAGAATTGTTCTGTGTACTATGATGTTTGTATGTGTTATTCTTGACATAAAGTTAAATAAATACCCTGTTATCATAGTGCAGTGTGCAGAAATCTTTACTACTAAGTTTATATATATACATTTCCACTAACACACAGTAAATATCGCACAAACTCCTAAGCACCATTTTGAACCTTAAGACTGATCATTATTTCATTTAATGGTTTACAGGCTAAATAACACTGGAAAGTGTTTCCTACAAATGTAGTAGAAAAATAGACATCCTTAAAATATGCTAGCAGCATTCATAATTATATTTTTGAACAGAAAGCTTAGACTAGTAACATACAGGCTAAATATTTTTCACAGAATACATTCATAGACCAAGAAATGATATACCTGATAAAATACAAGTGTACATTATATTTTTAAGCTGATAAAAGCTACAGTTATTTGTAATTCAGAATGCACATTTTAGCTTTAATCTTCAATATTACTGTAACCCTGCACGTTTCATTATGTTGACAACAACATTTTACTGTTATTGAGTATAGGTATGTTTGTTTTTTCAAATGGGGGTGACGTGCTTTTACTTTCCCTAATTTGAAAATACTAATTATATTTTGAGCATTCCTCTGATAAACATTTTAATACATATAAAAACCATAGGAAAAGTCCAGAGATACAAAGTTCAAATAAAATGGAATTAGTTAGTTTTTTTGCAGCATTATCTAGTTGAAAATTATTCTGTATAGAAATAGCACAAGTTCAACGATTTTATAGTTTACAAAAAAGGGGGAGCCTCCTACAAATAATTTCTTCCCATTTTTGAAATAAGTTGTTTTTTAAAACAAATCCTACAGAATATGGCTAAAGAATAAGCACTGTAAAAAATTTATCTACTTTGCCCTATATGACATACTTAGCTAAAAGACCATTCATAATTTTAAGAACTTAAGTTGAAAAGGAAAAATTGACTTATATAGAAATTGCACATTTAAGCAAATGAAATTTTTATTTTACTTCTGTAACATCCTCTAAATGCACCCAAAGTAAAAATGCATTTCCTGTAGCAAAATAAAGTGCATAGTTTATGAAAAACCGACTTAAAGGCACATGAACTTAGTACCAAGCTGAATGAAAAGCCATGAAAAAACATAAAAATTGAAAAACAAGTTTTCAGATAAATCCCAAAATGAGAACCTTAGACTGATCATTATTTTTTGTGGTTTACAGCTTTTAAAACTTTTCTAACAAAAACAAGCTGTTTAATACTGTAAAAAAAAATGCTTATTGAATGTTTCAGGCAGAAATATTGAAACATAAAATAAGGAATAAATATTAAAACTGATCACCAAAAGGCCTGGATGTAATGTTAAAATACTGTTTTGATTGGTGGTATTTGGAATCCAGTAAAAGCCAGATGAATAAAACTAATATCATCCAAGTAGTTAACTGGCTATATAATGCTGGTTAATAATTTTTTCTTTTGTATTTAAAAAGCTAACTCCTGCCAATAAAGTACTGTACATACAAAATTGATGGATAAAATTTGAACCAGTTTTTTTATATACCTTTTCATACAATATATGCAAGTAAAAACTTTAAAAATCTTATAAGAATAGACGTCAATCAGTATTTCAACTATTTTAAAAAACTCTTAATATTCAAAGTATATCTTGAAACAACAGTCTGAAAGAAATTGTTACTCAACTTCATTGGATATGTGATGATTAAAATTTAACTAAATTCTTAAATTACTGTGAATACCAAAACAATTATCTGGAAATTTATTAAAAGTGGTGTTAAGGATGTTTAAACTGCTATATAGTAATAGTACATGCTAACCGAAACATTCCCACTACAAATATATTCCATATAAAAACTATTACAAAATTTCATATTTTAGAATTTCACTTCACAATAACAAGTAGAATGAATTTTTTCTTTTAACTGACATCAAGTTCAACAAATTAATTCCTGCAACTTAATAAACTTCTTATTTACAGATAACACTTTTCATATACATGGTGGCTACATCCACAAATTCAGATAAATGCTTTTAAAATCCAGATTTGTTTATTAATAATACATATCATAAAACATTCTCTTATTCATTCATTTATTTAAAATATTATATTTTCACCCTAAAAATAGCCTATTCCAAGCTCCAAATCATTGGAGTAATGCAATAACCATACTTAAACTTGATGTTACTTTTATAGCCATAACCTATTTTCACAATAAATTCAAACATCAATGTACTGTACAGTCTAATAAAGGAGATAATAGTAATCTATTGCACAAATGTTGAATTAGCAAGAACCCCTCCCTCTTAAGTTTAGAAAAGTGGTATTTTCCCCTCCAAAAGATCTGTTTTTATCATTTTGAAATTTCTGTATCACTTATGATTTAATCAAAAAAAGTTTTAAAGAAATTTGACAGTTTTTTTGTATGTGTTTTAAATATATGTTTGGTACTCTTCAGTAACATTGTTCACAGAAATAAAATGTACAGCTTGCAAGCAAATTATGCTTGAATTATTCAGACTGTTCTTCTGCAACAGCAGTCTTCTGGTAGCTTTAACCCAACAAACCATTTTCTTCATCCAGGGGAGAGGCAGCTTTTTTTGAAACAAAGGTAGTAAACTCATTAGTTTGAGCATCCAGAAATTCAACAGTGTTAAGGAATGTCCTTCCATTGAATCCTCCAACAGCATACAAATGATTTCCAACAACACAGATTCCAACATTGGCTCGACAGGTCGTCAGGTTTGGCCCAGAACTCCATGCATTAGTCTGTGGATCATAGATTTCTACACTTGAAAGTGAACGAACACCATCGTGACCTCCTACAGCATATAGCTTACCTACCACACAAACAAAAACAGGTCGTTATCCCAAACATTTCATTCATATTATAAAAATAAATATTTAACATTCATTATTTAAAAAATCAAAAATTTTTTAAACCATACCATTACAGACAGATACTCCACAACCTCGACGTGCTGTGTGCATTGAAGTAACAAAAGACCACGAGTTAGTAGAAGGGTCATATTTCTCCACAGAGTTAATGCAGCTCCAGGAGTCACAACCACCAACAGCATACACTTCTCCATTCATAGCTCCAACTCCAGCTTGGTATCGACCTAACTTATTCAAGTGATTGTCATTTAGTTTCTGAAACTTCATAAATTAATATCAGGATAATTTTTAGTGCTAAAAATACATGGCATTGTTTCAACAATCATAACTACAGTATTAGTTTTATAATAGGCACTAATTTTTCCTCCATACAACTGAACTTTAAAATGTCAAATAGGTATCAAATTTTATGTAGTTCCATATTTACACATGGATTACACCAATTAGCATTTCACAAAAAGCTGGTTAAAATCATGCTGGTATTACAGTAGTGGGCAGTGTTTTTGTAAGTTAGAATTTGAATGGTTTTTTAAAATCTGGTTTTTAAGTGTCTAAGCCTTTTTAAGATTCTTCTACTTGTATATTAACTCTTCTCATACTGAGTAAGTCAGTGTGACTGGCACAAGTGTCATCATAACTAAACAAATAAACTAAAACACAATTCTATTTGAACAGATTACTCATTTTAGGAAAAATTTAAAAATAGGGTTTTCATTAATTAGATATAAATACCAGAAACATATAATATCATTGTTTATACATAAACCACTTAAGTTTCAGTTTCCCCATTATAGTAATTCTTAAAGTACACTGTAAAAAACTCATCCAATCACAATTTAGTGTAAACGAAGGGAATCAACAACAAGAAAAAAGAGTATTGGCTAGAATATCGGCTACATTTCACGATAATGAGTACAAGAAAAAAAAGCAGCATTACAAAGTTTTGATAAAAATTAGCTGGAAATAAATAACAAAACAGAAAATTGAAAGTTTTTAGTAGCAAGTTTAGAATTTAGAAAATAACCTGTTTTTTATTATTAACAAGTTGGAAACTTCAAGTAGATGGAACTTTTAAAACTTTTTTTTTTTGTAACACACCGAATGCACTAAACTATTTTGCACGACTTCATAGAAATCATAATATTATTTATCACATACCAACTGACAGAGGTGCAACATTCATCCACAACTGAGTTTTAGGATCATAAACTTCACAGTGAGTCAAGCCTCTCTGTCCATTCCAGCCACCAATTACAAATATGTTCCCATTTAAGCAACAAACACCTGAAAGAAAACACCAAGTACGAAATACTGCTCCATTTATACAAACGATTGACTAAAAATTCCACCTAAACATTTCATGAGAGAATAATTTCACCAATTTCTGCAGAAAGGAAAAATATAAAATTAAACAAAGTGCATCATAGATTTGCTATTACAGTACTTTTACTGACCTACTTTCTCCATTTTGTTGATACACTCAAAAATAGTTTTAAGCAACACCAACCTAAAATTATATATAAAAAAGAATGTATCTACTAATGTGAAAAAAGCCGACTGCTTATAAAAAAAATCTCCACTTGAAAATAGTACTTTTCATGATCACCAAAGACAAGCCAATAAAATAAACCTATGATTTTTTTCATTTAAAACTGTTACTTCATGTACAGGTGCTACTTTGAAAGACATGGAAAAATGTAGAAAATATTTATATTTAAACTATTGTGAATCAGACAAATATCAATATTAGCAGGAAAGAATATGAATTAAAAATAAAATTCTACTCTGATGTGTTTCAAGAATATTTTAGTTTCTGTCTATTCCACATCTTAAATAATTACATACAGATGGTATATATTATGCCTCATGTACATATTCTGAACAATGTACACAAAATCTTGCTTGCTGGAACATTTTAATAAATTGATAAATTCAGAAATCAAAACAACATACAAAAGAACATCATTTCTAGTTGCAAATCAATCACCAGCAGTAACAAATTTTTAGAAACTAATGAAAGAAAAAATACCAAATGGTCAAATGACATTAATACCATAAAACCTTCCAACCTGTATTAAGCCAACAGTACCAGAGCATACAGAATATACATATCTCAAATGTTATGACTAAAGAGAAACTACATCATTTTATCAGTTGGGTACTTTCAGACACATAGCTACAATTTTTACTTTGTATCCATGTGACAAAAGAACTCTGTTTTTATTTTAAAAACCTGAAAATCTGAGGATATATAAAATACACGAATTATCAGCCACAATAACATACAACTTTTCCACCTCACAATAAATACAAACTACATCACAGACCAAGGATTAATTAAGGGCTTCAACAATAACAAATGAATTTCTCTGTGCTGTTGAAATCAAACATCAATTTGCAGAACATTTATTGGTTGATGACATCCTGGCCAAAACTTAGACTTAAATTTTGGAAGACAGATGATCAGGAAATAGTTGTTTTCAGGTCAAGACTTCTGTACATACCTCAAATGTTGTGATACCTAAAACATCAGAGTGGAAGAAATACCTTCTCTGTATCAATTAATTGTTTTTCATATTTCTTCAATTAAAAAGAAATGTGCAGAAGTACCAAAACATACTAAATAACTGTTTGCATTTCACATAATGGAAAAATGTTAATAAACTAACAAACCGAAGTTACTACTACTTGCTTTAAATGAATGCTACAAAAATGGGGAACAACTGTAAATTTATGATCATGCTTTCTTAAAACCAAAAATTGTATTACAGTACAAAAAAGTATACAAACTAGCAACATTATTGAAGATTTTAAGTGTACTATTGTCAATTCTAAACTGACAAAAATATTAATATAGAAATGAAGTTTTATTCACAGTTCGCTCACATAAAATAACTATTAAAAATATTAACCCATTTTGCATTTCATACAGCTTACTTTCTAACTTCTTAATAAAACTTTTCAGGTTGGAAATAAACAAATATTGTAGTTTTGAAAATACTTATCTTCTTTTTCATGCTTTAACTTACTGAGTTACCTCAATCATGCAATATTCTCACTTCTTTTACCTTTCATCCTAACTGTGAAGTGATACAAGTCTGTAATTAACTTTTCTTTTTATTATACAGTTTTCAATAGAATCTTTAACAGCAAAGCTTTTTTAAAATGACCCTATATAGTAGACATGCTCACATCCTGATATCTCATATTTAACATTTCTTCAAAATTGTTTTGTAGAGATATAAACATTTCATAGAATTAATTTTTCTAAATTTTTAAAACCAATCTGTCAAACTTTGTGGGAACAATCTCTAGAAAATTGTCATGTTTATATATTCCAAAGAAAAGTAGATTTCCATTCCATTCAAGTTACTCTCATGTGAACTTGTAAGTTTATGACTTGGTTTGCTGCTTTTTTGTGTGTAATCCAGCTGCATTAGTTACAATAGGAATTTCAGAATGCTTCTTAAAAATCATGTTAAGTTAACTGTGTGCACACCAAGAGGAAATAGAGTTTCCTCTATTTTATAAGAAAAAATGTTACATGGCATTATAAGATATTACCTACCACAATTAGACCTACAAATACTCATTGATGGATAAAGTTTCCAACCAGCAGTAGCAGTGCTGTAAACTTCGACAGAGTTCAATTCCTTGGTTCCATCTGATCCACCAATGGCATATACTTCATTGTCTAAAACTGTGATGTCAAACCTGCCACGGGGTACTTTCATAGACTCAAGTTTGGACCACCTGTTCGTAAAAGGGTCATAAAGCTCAACAGTTCGTAAGCACTCCCCTCTGTCATATCCACCTGTAATTAGATAATAAAAACTTCACACCCTAGAGCACATGTAATATAATTAACCTTTTTTCCATTTTGAGCATTTTTGTCAAGCCAAATGTTGATCTGTCAAAACACCTAACATCTACTATAAAATACAGTTTACAATCTATGTTAATACACCAGTTTTCATGCATAAATTCAATTGTATTGGTGAAAAGGATAATTGAATATGTAACTGATATACTTGATATCTGTGAGTAAAATGAGAAAATGAATATGCTACAGCAAGTTGGATCAATTGGGTAGACAGTGTAAATCATTCTAGATACATGTAACATTGTTTGTTAATTATTAAACTCCTCACATATCACTAGTGTTTTGTATTAGTATTAGGAAACACTTTTTAAAACGTAATTTTTAAAATAACTTTATCAACACATCACTTAGGAAATTATATTATTAAATATAAGGATTTATTTAGGAAAACAACAGGATTTAAAGCACACAGAAATAAAAAATTACATTTAATTATGATACTGAACATGTGGTCAAAACGTTCAAAGAAAAAGTGAGTGACTGTTCTTTCACCCAGGAGTGTTTCATAGTGAATATAAATACCCGTGTGTGTGTGTGTGTGTGTGTGTGTGTGTGTGTGTGTGTGTGTGTGTGTGCGTGCGTGCGTGCGTGCGTGCGTGATCGTGTCGTGTCGTCGTCGTACGTCGTGTCGTGTGTGTGTGTGTGTGTGTATAGTAGTTTATA